TGCTAGCCGTGTCGCCGCTTCGCCTGTGCCGCGCACATCTGGGACCCAAGCCGGGCTGCGCGGGACTGTGTGCGCAGCTGCATCTCTGCAAGTTCATGATCTACGGCGCCTGCAAGTTCCTGCGGACCGGGTGAGGGGGCATGGAGTGGGGTGGGAGTGGGCAGGGCGCCCCCACTTATTTCCAGCACCTCTTAAAAGTTTTAAGGCGACAACTAGATGGCCCTGCAGGGGCCATATCCCCGTAATTCTCTTCACCATTTATTGAGCACCTACTTAGTACCTGGCCCTGAGTGAGAGTCGGGTTCAAGTGTCATCTTGAGGCTCCCAAGGACCCAGGGGCTTAGGTAGAGTGAATCCCGGCGTGGGGTGTCACCTGGCGGTGGCAGGATGGGCTGGGGAAGCCCAGGGTAGCTCCAGGATCCCTGGTCTGCAGTCAGCCTTGAGAACCAGATAGTAGGGGGCAGGGCTCTCTCTGGTGGTGGAAGAAATCTGGAAATCAGGAAATCTCGCTCACCTGCTCAACCTTGCTCATCTGGTGACCTTTACCCTGCCTGCAGCTCCCTTCCTGGTGCACTCCATTAATGCTTCAAGCCTCAAATCAAAGATCAGGTTCTTTTGGGCGCGGTTCCTCTTAGTCTTCGTTACACCTCACTGTTTTACATTCTTCAGAGTGCCCAGCTTGTCCCTCACCCCCCAAGATGGTAAACTCCCTCGGCTCAGCGTGCCCTGCTATCTCTGCCCTGCTTGGCTGACTCCCCAGCATCTCTGCATAGCAGGCAGAGCGGGTGGCCAGTGAGATGGATCCAGTAGGTTTCTAAGGTTTCTGCTGAAGAATTTGGACCTCACCTTGAGGGTGATGAGGCCCATCCATCCGGCAAGAGATGCAACAACCATCAAGTGTGCATTTTAGGAAGAAGAAGTCTTGGCTAGTGCTGTGGACGCTGATTTAGAGGAGGATGTCATGAGGACTTGTTTTGAAGCTAGTCCAGTTAGAATTTTTCCCTTCTTTTGTTCTATTTTCCTCCCACCTCTCTCCTTCTGTCCCCGTTTTTCTTTTGTCTTAACACAGTAGGCACCACTTCTTGCTCAAGTTGGATCTAATAGCCTAGGGCAGGGGCTTTGATCCTTGCAGTCATTCAGGGATCCAGGCTGAGTGACTTTAACCTCTGCCCTTCTCTTGAGGCCATTCTAGGTGTGGAGTCCCAAGAGTGAGAAGGCAGAGAAGGAGAGTAGAGGACTGAGTGGAAGTTTTTATGGGCCAGGTCTAGAAGTGGTAGACGTACGTCCTTTGACAGGAGGCTGTCATAACTCGAACCTCTTGCAGGCGGGCTGGGTAATGTCTCTAGGAACCAACTGCCCAGGTAGGCAGACTGACTGTTCCAAGGGTCTGTGAATGTGAGAAATGGGGGAAGTTGAGTTGCAGATGGTGTGGAGAGGCTTTGGGAGAGATTATGATTACTGGGTTTTTGCTCCTACTGTGGACCTAGAGAGTGGGGTATTTTAGTTCTTTTCAGGACTGAAGATTGGGGCTAAGGCTGGGTGCCTGAGGTGCCCTTGGGGAGATGTTGAGTGGTTAAGGCTGTGGGCCAGTGGCAGGAGTGGAACAGATCTGAGAAGGAGCCTGAGGCCTGGAGAGTGGAGGGTGGAGCCCTGGGAGAAGGAGGAGCAGTCCTGGAAGGAGAAGACCCACAAGAATGGGGGCTGGATAGTGATCCCTGGTGAATTCTTTTTTTTTTTTTTTTTTTGGT